TCCCCGCTGAGCAGGGAGCCCGATGTGGGACTCGATCCCAGGACTCCAGGATCATGACCTGAGCCGAAGGCAGTCGCTCAACCAACTGAGCCACCCAGGCGCCTTCCAGTCCTCTTCTTGATTTTCCAGCCAGAATCCCGTGGTCTCCAGTCACTCTCCACTCTCTGAAATCTACCCTTTTTCCTGCTGTTCCAGTGTGGCGGGTTTCCTTAAGAGCCCCAGTGAACATCTTCCACCTAGAGCCAGTGGCTCTGCTATCAGACTCCGTAGGCAAGGTGTTGTCCTCTACCCATGACCTTGTGCAAGTCACTTAGCACCCAAGCCTCATGGCCAGTGTGTCTGTCAACCCAGCCAAGTCCAATTTTCTCCCCCGGATGATTTCTCAGAAATTGCTAAGCCAAGCTGCTGAAGCACCGGGTGTTTCTGCTGATAATCTTCCCTTCCACTGTTGTGGCAGAGGCCTCGGGAGGGATTGGCAGCTTGTGCGTGACAGTGACTGTCCTGCAGAGGGAGGTGGGCGCTGGGGCCTTGGCTCTCTGGGTCCCTGGGGGTGTTGAGCGGAGCCAGCACTTGAGCTGAGATGCTGTGTTAGCAAGGGGGACCTGGGGGCCGAGTGGGCAGATGGCCTCTCTGCTTACCCCCGTGTGTGCTGCCCTTGCTGTGCCTGGGCCACACGCTCCATTCTCTGTCACAATAACCACATGGACTGGGGGGGCCCCTTTTGTCATCCCCATTTTGCAGATGAAGAAACTGAGGCTGAATGAGTTGCTGGAACATGTACCCAGGTTTTTGTGCCTCTTAGTCCACATGCTCTGATGTCTCTTCAATTTGGGTCCTGGATAAACAGCCTTCCCTGAATTGCATCTTCTTCCTTCCCTGAGGACCCTGGAGAAAGGAAGACTGCAGCCAGCCTTTCCGTAGAGGCAGGGTAGCCCGGAGGCTAGGAGCCTGGGCTTTGGAGTCAGACAGGGCTGGGTTTGAGTCCCAGGTCCACAACTTTTACCAGCCATGTTGCTCTAGACTAGTCACTTCTCCTCTCTGTGCTTGGTCCCTTTGCCAGTGAAGCTGGAAATACCTTTCCTGAGGAGGTAGAAATGAATTGGAAAGGATTTGGGGCCAAAAAATGGCTCTAGGGAAGGGAGTGTCTCCACACGGTAACCAGCAAAGAAATCCTTTACTGCTTTCACTTCCCTCCATCTTGGCGGTCCAGCACAGTGGTTAAAGCCCAGTCTCTAGAAAGATTGGTTCCTACCCAGGCCATATCACTGAACACCTCTGTGCCCTCAGGCAGGTGGCTTACCTCCAGTGCTTCCACTCCTCACGAACAGGGATACTAATTGGATTATAGGGATTAAATTAATCTGTTAACTGCTCAGAAAAGAGCCTGGCTCACAACAAGCACCATGTATTTGCCATTATTTATTATTATTTTTATTAATTTATCAAACCTTTTCTGAGCATCTCCTCTGTGCCCCTGGGGGGTGAAATGGCATCGCCCCTGCCCTCCAGGGTCCCACCTTGTAAGGACATAGATATAAGCTCCGTGGGCACCATGAAGTGAGGCAGGGGGTGGCCTGGGCGTAGAGGAGAGGAAGGGTGTGTTCTGCCCAAGCTGGGGGCAAGGAGGAGCATTCAGGAAAAGGCCTATGCAGGAGATCTGCCCACAGTGCTGGGAGAACGCAGGGAGGGGGCTGACGGGTTTGGTGGGATATCTGGGCTGGATGTTGATGGGTGAGTAGGAATAGAACGGATACGGTATGTCTGGCCGAGTCTCAGCACGGTGGATGCAGACACTTAGTGGCTCAAGTTCTGCTGTCTTAAGCTTGCACAGTCTGGCCCGGCCCAGAGAGTCCCATAGCAGAAACATCAGAGCTGGGTGCTGGCTCACCTCCGATTGCTCTCCACCTATCAGAAGGGGTGCTTGCCCAGCAGAAACAAAGGACGGGAGAACTCTCACGGTCCTAGAGAATGAGGAACTCAAGTCCTGCTCACAGAGACTGACCAGAGCCTGCCACTGGCCGAGCAGTCAGCTCTCAGGACAGTTGCAGAGCCTCCCATCTTGCCTCTCAGACAGCGTCTCCTTTAAGTTGTTGACCCCAGAACAGGGCCCAGCACATAGGCACATGACAGGAAGCACAGGGGAGAAGGAGTACTAGCTTTCAAGTCAGGAGACCCCAGTTGAAGTCCTGACTCTGCTACTTCCTCGCTGAGTGACCTTGGGCAGGTTACTTCCCCTCACTGAGCCTCAGTGTTCTCATTTGTTACATGGGTTTGCTGGAGTTCTGTAAGTACCAGGACTGTTGTTCTTCTCAGGCCCTCTGTCAGTGTGAGTGTGGAAAGGAAGCTAAGGCCCAGTGAGGGGGAAGCCCAGGGCTTAGGCCTATTGCACTTGCCCAGAGCTGGGGCCGCTAAGAACAGACTTTCTCTCGGGCTTGACACCATCCTATCTGCCCTGTGCAGTTTGTGTGTGTGGAAAGCCTCGTGACCGCTGTGGTGGACATGTACCCCAAGGTCTTCCGGAGGGGCTACCGGCGGGAGCTGCTCATCTTGGCTCTATCCATCATCTCCTATTTTCTGGGCCTCGTGATGCTCACAGAGGTGAGTGACATGGAAACAAGTAAGCGACGTGAACACGGTAACGGGAAGGTTAAGTGCCTGGGCTCTGGCTCTGGATTAGGCAGGCTGATGTCAAATCCCAGCTCTGGGATCGGTTGTATGACCCTGGCCAGGTCTAGTATTTCTCTAGGACTCGTTTTCTCCTCTTTGTGGAGATCATTGGAAGTTCTCATTGAGCCCTGAGCACAATGTCTTCACATGTGTGAATGCTCAGCTCACGGTCACCGTGGTCACTACCAGAGGGGAGTAAAACTCACAAAGAGAAAGACTGGGGTTATCTGGTAGTCATCCACCCTTACAGTACTTCTGGGTGAAAGGGACAGTGTCAGCTATGGACGTCTAACCCAGATATTGCTCTTGGCCTAAAGTTCAGAGCAGGCTTTTCTGGAATATCACTGAGAACAGACATGCACGAGGACATCTGGCACCTCAGGCACTGTGTGTCCGAACCCCAGTCCTGTCTCTGCTGGGCCTGTGAGTGAGGAGGGTTTCACCCTGACCCCCCACATTAAGACTCTCATGACACCATGTTTCTCTCCCCTCCTGCAGCCATCTGTCTAATAAATACTTTTTCAAGTACCTTGGGAAAGTGAGATTAGATATCGTTCTCCCCACACTGACAAAATTAATTAATTTAAAAAAGCAGAAAACTGTTGCCTAGAGACAAGAAGCGGTTTTGCAAGAAACATGGAAAGAAATGAGGGAACACCAATCCATTGAAGCAGCTGAGGTGATGTTGAGGTTGGTCTATGGATCCCCTTCATCCCTCTGCTTCTCAGCTCAGAGGCCATCTCCTGGAAGGCTCCTCAAGCACTTTGTTCCAGGCTCAGCCCAGCCTTTCTCCCACCTTAGAATGACTGCTCAGTTCACCTGTCTCTCCCCCCACCAGGCCCCGAGGTCCATGAAGACAGGAGCTGGCCTTGCCCAGTTCTGTGCCCTTGGGGCCTGGCAGAGGGTGGACACTCAGGGCATGGTGGCTGGTGTTATTACTGCTCCTGGTCATTGTCACATTAATGGGAGTGATAATCAGCTTTGAGCAAATGAATGGTGTGGCACTTCCGGTTGCCATCTCTCCACTCCCCACATAGGGAAACCAGCCCTGCACTGAGCAGGGCTTCATTAAGTGCTGATTAATTACACAAAGTAGAGTCTTTGTCACATACAAATTGGGGGGGTTAATGTGACATGTTAATGAGGCTGATGGGGACAGGGCTCCAAGAAGAGCAGGCATTGGCATGGGTGTCCCTGGCTTGGAGCAGGCAGGCAGAGGACCCTCCAGGACCTCCGGCCCTGGAAGCCCCCCAGCCCTGGGTGCCCCCCCCCACATTGCAGAACCTTCATGCCCACCCTTCAGCCTGAGGCCATGGGCCTGCCCAGGGGCGCCTTGTGGCTCCTGGGGCCCATCAGGGAAATAGCACTGTGCTGACCGTTAATCAGCAGACACGTGGGCTTCGCATGCCAACCTTCTGCCTCCATGCAGGAATATCTGTGAGTGATTGCACCAGAGAAGTTCAAATTGCCAAATGGGCCATGTCGGCCTCAGCCTTCACAGTAATTGCTGGCAGGATCTTCTCCCTCATTTATATACATTTAAAGCTCGGCTTTGGGGGAAAAATAGGCCACAGATTTTTTATCTTCCACCACGGCAGTGTGGTAGAGAATTAAGAGCGTGGGCTATGCAGCCAGACCACCTAGATTCAGTCCTCAGTCCCATGACTGGCTATCTGGATGACCTGCGACAAGTGTTCTCACTGCTCTGTGCCTCGGTTTCCCCTGTGAATACTGAGGACAGCAGTTGTGCCTGCCTTGTTTATACACGCTGTAAGGATCAAGCTGACTAAGACATGGGAAGTAGTTCAATCAGAGCCTTGGAGAGGGCTACATATGTATACATGATGTTTATGGAAGGAGACACTTGGGAGAGCAGTTAGGAACATCGTCTGAGCTTTTAGCTCAGAAAGCCAATTGCCTTCCTAGTCACAGAGAAGCCTCAGACCTGCTCCTTACTCTCACAGCCCTGAATATCCACCACATCCAGCACCAACAGGAGGCCCTAGACCAGATATGTCCCATAGATCCCCTTTGTTTCACCCCCACTGTGTTTTTAAGAACATGGAGAGGTTACCAACAATTAAGAAGAGAAGGACTTCTCGTGAAAATCTGGATTTCCGGCATCTTCTAGAAAAATCTGCAGATCTGGCTGCACCCAGGCGTGCCTCCCCCAGCAACTCTCAACCGGCATTGTGTGGCCACATGGGGCCTGTGCCGACCAGTTAGCGCCAGCCCCACCACTTCCTGGTGTCACACACCGGGCCCACCTCTTTCCCTCGTGTTATCTGTCTGGCCCTCTGGGCATCGAGATGCTGCCCCAGATCCAGCTGAAGACATGAGTGAGGAAACAAACTGTCCCAGCCTATGTGTGGTCTCAGAGGGTAGAAGGAGGCCCTGGAGGCCATGGGAGCACAGGCCGGAAGCTTAATTCCACGTCCCTGTGGCAGACACAGGAGGCTGTCCAGGCTTTGTCCTGGCCTCTTACCTTCCTGTCCTGGCATTCAGAATGCCTCCCCCAACCTGACCCTCCTCCCCTTTTCCACTTTTATTTCTCCTGCTGTTGATTGTGTCCCCCTCAGGGATGTCATGTGTTGTAAGATTTCCTATATAGATCCCAACCTTTCTGAGGGCTGCAGCTAGCTGCCTGCCCAGATGCCATCCCTCCTCTTTAGAAACCTTCCTGGGTCACCTGGGCCAGCTGAGCTTATACCTCCCAGGCCTTCTCCTCCCACACTGGCAGGAGATACAAAGAGAACCGGTGTGGGGACCTCCCCAGCAGAAGCCCAGAGCTAACAGAGCAGCTGATGGGAAAACTTTTTTAAAAAACTGTGAATCCATAAAATGTGCTGCAGAGGCCTAAAGAAAAGATAAGGCTGTCAAAAAGGGCTTCTTGGAGGAGGTGACATTTGAGCTGAGCTCTGAAGGAACTTACCAAGTAAAGAAGGAACAGCACGTGCAAAGGCAGAGAGGGGAGACTCTCCCTTAGTCTGTCAGAGGGAAGCATGTGAAGATTGGCTGGAGGAAGGAGAGACAAGGCCAAGTGAGAGGGCCACTCTGACCGGCAGGCTGACAGAAGCCAAGGGGTAATGTTAAACTGTGGAGAGACATGATTGGACTTGCATAGTAGAAAGGTCCTAGTGAAAGCCTATGTTCGGGGAAGGGGGTGAGGCTCAAGGCAAGGAGGCCAGTGGGGATGCTGTTAGAACCCAGGAAAGGGGCTGAGGCCGCCCGACCTCCAGTCTCTGGTTTTCTGTGTTGTCTCTGGCCTTTGGAGAGCAGAGACAAGACAGACCTTCCCAAGCCCAGCAACCCCAGAGGGTGCTACCTTAGGGGGGGCCCAGGTGCAGAGAAGTGTCATTTGGGGAGACTAGGAAGAAGCAGTCTGCTCCGGTGGAAGTGACTCCTGGCTGATGGTAGCCACAGGGCCAAGCAGAGGGCCTTCTGAAGGCCAGCTGGCCGACCCTGCTCTCCCGTGTGTCTTTGCATCCCTCTGTCCACGTGTATGGCCTCCCGCTGCGCAGGGCGGCATGTACATCTTCCAGCTCTTCGACTCCTATGCAGCCAGCGGAATGTGCCTTCTCTTTGTGGCCATCTTTGAGTGCGTCTGCATCGGCTGGGTGTATGGTAAGTAGAGGCTGGACATACCTGCGCCCAAGCAGCCTGTCATGGTGCCCAGCATATGGACGCCTGGGGCCTGGGTAGGCTCGGGTTCTCTGCGCTGGTCTCCATCTGTATCCACCTCTTCCTCCTTTCCTTCAGGGGCTCGGCCTTTCACACTTGTCAGGAGAGCTTCTTGTTCTTATACCCCTGCAGCACAGGGACACAGGCTGGGGTTCCAGACTCAGGCACTGTGACCTTGGGCCAGTGCCTCTGCCTTTGAGCCTCAGTTTTTCCACCTATAAAATGGGATAGTCCTCACCATGTCTCCAGGTAGGAGATAGTGTGGGCAAAGCAGCCAGCACGGTGCCTGACCCTCATTCAGCACCTGCCTTCTGGTCCTCCTATTTCCCAAACCAAATGAGTGGATGAAGATTGCTGGATTCAGTGATGATGGATATTCCCACTGTGAGCCTAGCTTGGGAACAGGCCACCCTGCGGGCTGCTCCACTCATTAGCAGCCCAGCCAGGCTGTCCCCTTCAGAGCCTTGCCCCCTGCCCCCTTGTATGTCAGCCAGGCCTTGGCCTTGCCTCTCAAAGGGACCATCTTCCACCTTTCTCCCAGAAATGTTTCCTACTCACTGTTTCCTGGGCCTCACTGACCAAGGTCAGAAAGGGTCTTCCCAGCATCGGACCAGAATTCCTTCTACTGCAGTATATTCTGAAAGCTCACATATGTCACATCTTGGTAGTTGTTAAGTGGTAAATAAGGTCCCTGCCATCATTTGTCTGTCGGGCTGGGGAAAGCAAACACTCCTAGCCTTCCCTCTGGAGTTTTGTACAAAAATTCTCTGGGGTGTGTGTGCCTGTCTGTTTTATTCTGGACAGGAAGCAATCGGTTCTACGATAACATCGAAGACATGATTGGCTACCGGCCATTGTCGCTCATTAAATGGTGCTGGAAGGTTGTGACCCCCGGGATCTGTGCGGTAAGGGCCCTGCCAGAAGCTGCCTCCAGCCCACTCACCCACTTTCCCCTTCTAGCACCACAAGCCTGGCCGAGGCTGAAACAGGACGCGCTGGCCCCCTGGGAGACCCTCTGTGCATCCAGAGAGTCCAAGGCACCTGACATCTTTCTAAGTGGGAGTCGTGGGGACAGTTTCTGGGCTTGGCCAGGGAGGGGCCTCACTGGGATCCCAGCTCTGCCACCAGCTTGCTGTGTGACCATAAGCAAGTCCCCTCCCTTCTCAAAGCCTCGGATTCTATACCTGCAAGCTAAGTGGCTGGGGCCTGTCTCCATGAGGGCCAAGGATCCTATGAGAGACAACGTTTAGCTTTGCTGTTAACAGAGAAAGCCACAGAACTGAGGTAAAATTGGGGCTCATTGCTCTGCCCCTCAAACCACACCGTGGAGAGGAATTTGTGTTTAATAAACATAACCCCATTGCTCTTCACCCAGTTCTTGGCGTTGAAAATGTCTCAGAGCATCTTCACAAACCATCGTGGTTCTGCAAAGACCACTTTGAAAGCAGCCCCGAGAAGGAGCTAGAAAGGCTGGGGATAAGGCTTCTGGGGCAGGGAGGGTCTCACAGCCCCGATGTGGTGCTGGGATCTGTGGGAGTCCATTCCCTGTGTGAGCTGGCACAGGTCCTCGCCTGTCCAGGGCTGTCACATGCCGTGGCCTCTACCCCCACTGGCCTCCTGCATGCGGGCCTGTGCCTGTGCCTGTCGCCGAAGGCTGGCCCCCAGGGACCTCTCCCCGTCTCTCGGCAGGGCATCTTTATCTTCTTCCTTGTCAAGTACAAGCCTCTCAAGTACAACAACATCTATACCTACCCCACCTGGGGCTACAGCATCGGCTGGCTCATGGCCCTGTCCTCCATGCTCTGCATCCCACTCTGGATCTTCATCAAGCTGTGGAAGACAGAGGGGACACTGCCTGAGGTGAGACAGCCCAGGTGGGGCAGGGGGAGGGGTGGCAGGTTGGCAAGGACGGTTCTGAGGGCGCTGAGGCACATGCGGGGTCTGGCTCTGCCTCGGGTGGGCTGAAGATCAGGAACAAGTCCATGGGTCTTATCTGAGCACTGGGTGTGTGGAGAATGAGCCCCACGTGTCTCCCGGGGAAGCCACGGCCAGCTCCTCTCGGCCAGCTCCTCTCTGGCAGGTGTTCATTGTTACCATTGTGTGACGTCATTTCTGTGAGGCCTGGAGGGTGAGCCAGTTTCTCTGAGTGTCCTCATCTGTAAAATGAGGACAACAGCAGTTCCTGACCTACAGAGGTTTTTATAAGGACTCAATGACTTCATAGAGGGAAAGGACTTGGACCTGGAACAGAGTGACGAAGCGTTAGCTTTCACTGTTCTTTTAGTTCACAAAGGACCCCATCCCCAGGACAAAGGGAGAGGGTCTGATGTTGGGGGAACACCTTTCCCGCGTCATCACCGTGCTAGAATCTCTACATGTATCTCCCTTAGTCCTCTGAGCAAACCAGGGTGCTGGCCTCATTTTCTGCCTTCAATAGGTAGAGAAACTGAAGCTCAGAGCAATGAAATCGCTCAACCAAAAATTAGCATCGCACAGCCAAAACTTAGCAAACCAAATTTTTAAAATTGAGATGTAATTGACATATAACATTGTATTAGTTTTAGGTAACAACATAGTGGTCTAATATTTGTATGTCTAGTTAATATCCCTCACCACAGTTACAGATTCTTTTCATGCGATGAGAACTCTTAAGATCTATTATCTCAGCAACTTTCAAATATTAACCAAATATTGAGTAATATTTGGGAATGGACTCCCACAGATCCCAGCACCACATCGGGGCTGTGAGACCCTTCCTATCCAGTATTATTACCTGTAGTCACCACTGTGCATTACATTGCCATGACTTATTTATTTTATAACTGGAAGTTGTACGTTTTGGCCCCCTCCACCCATTTCACCCCCCATCCCCCAACCCACCTCTGGCAACCACCAATCTGTTCTTTGTACTTTGAGCTCGGGTAGGTTTTCTTTGTTGTTTGTTTGTTGGGTTTTTGTTTGGTTTTGGTTTTTTGGTTTTTTTAGGTCTCACATATAAGTGAGATCATACAGTATTTGTCCTTGTCTGGCTTATCTCACTTAGCATAATGCCCTCAAGGTCCATCCATGTTGTCACAAACAGCAGGATTTCCTTCTTTTTTATGGCTGAATCATATTCCATTGTGTATACCTACCATAACTTCTTTATCCCTTCATCCATTGATGGACACTAAGGCTGTTTCCATGTCTTGGCTCTTGTAAATAATACTTCAGAGAACACTGGTTGGGGGGTTACATTCCTTGTCAAGTTAGTATATTTCTTTCCTTCAGATAAATACCAGAAGTGGAATTGCTGGATCATATGGTAGTTCTATTTTTAATTTTTTGAAGAAACTTCATACTAATTTCCATAGGTGATGCCAAATTTTTTAAAAACAATTTTATTAAAGTATGTTTTATGTAACCTAAGATTCACCCATTTCTGGTATACAATTCAGTGATTTTTGCAGTAACTTTCTGTGTTCTGTGTTCTGTGTATTATAATCATCACCATGAATCAGCTGGAAAACATATCCATCACCCTTATAAGACTCCTCATGCCCATTCACAGTTTACCCCATTTCAAAACAGTTTACACCACCTATCTCCTTTCTGTCTCCGTGGATTTGCCTGCTCTGGACATTTCCCGTCAGCAGTGCCCTATGTGGTCCCTTGGTGGCTGGCAGAGTTATAAGCCGCACCATCCTACTCCAGAGCATTCGCTGGCTCTACTCTCCTTTCTCACCTGCTGGCACATCAGATGGTTTGGGTCAGTTTCTCACTCATTTAGCAGACTGCTGTGTGCCAGGAACTGTTCTGTTTACACACATTACGCCATTTAATCCTCATAGCGGTCCTGTGACGTGGAGGCTCTTATTGCCCCCACTTCACAGATGAAGAAGCTGAAGCACAAAGAAGCGAAGCCACTTGACCAAAGGCACACAGCCTCAGAGTGGCAGAGCAGAAGCTCTGAGCTCTCGTCACCTGAGTTTCGCTGTCTCCTTCCTCTGCTAGGACTGGCCACCCTCCATTGCGGGGCCCTGTCTCTGCTCCACTGCCACCCTCCAGAGATCTCAGGGGTTCACCTTTCTGTCCCAGAACAAGGCCAAATGGAGATGGGAGTAGATGTGTGTACAAACACCCAAATGTGAGTGCCAGCTCAGAGTCAGCTTCACCCAGCCGGCCTGCCCACCGGAGGGCCTCAGCTCCAGAAAAAAAGCTACATATCCAGTCAGAAGGACCAAGCCGAGAGGGAAGGTCTCTTTCTCAAGCCTGCTCATGCCCCCTGAGAAGGTTTCCTTGGCTCCCACAGGGAATGTAGGTCAAGGGCAGTTGGTTAGTTCTGATCTGGAACCAAACCATGTCCTTGGTCCCTGCAGGCCCCTCCCCCTGCGTGCCTTTGATATTCAGGAATGCCCAGTACCCCCTTGTGAATCCTCCAGAGATTAGCTCAGGCCTGGCATGGAGGGAGAGAGGGTGGGCAGGTGGAAGGAGAAGCTACTTTCCTGAGCTTTTTCCATCTCCCTAAGCTCACGCACCTGCCTCCACAGAGAGCAAGGTTTATTAACGACAGCAGAACTGATTTCCAGGCCTTCCTTACTGAGGAAACGTGTGCCAGTTAGTTCACCTCCCTCTGTTTCCAGAAGGTTCTGCCAGCTGACAGGAAGGATCTGGAAGGAAAAAATGGGGTCAGTAGTACTTACCTGAGAGAACTGCTTTGAAGATGGATAATCTGTGCTAATCTGTGGCAAAGTCAACTAAACTGAGCCTCGTGTTAATCCTAGGAGGCAGGTGCCCTTGTTCTCCTTTGACAGATGAGGAAACCAAGGCACAGAGAGGTTAAGTTTCTTGCTCCAGTGAAGTGACAGAGCTGGGATTCAAACCCAACTGCCTGGCTCTGGAGCCCATGCTCTCTATCCTCTCCTGTGTGGTGCCTGGCACACAGAAAATGTTCAGCATGGGGGATTTGGCCTGTTAATCCCACCTGGGCTGTGTAGGTTCAGCCTCTTAGGCATGGCAGTATCTGGAAGAGAAGACAGAACCTTGATCATGAAAAATCAGACCTCCAAAAGTCTTTGCAGGCTTCCTGGGAAAGGGTTTATGCCCAGAAATGACCTCCCAAATCCTGGTCCAGTGCCTTCCCCTGATGGACCCTGTGGGGTATATATGAACCTGAGGTGTGGGGCTCTAGGCAGCACCATGGCAGCAGAAGCCTTCATCAGGAGTCTGCCTGTGACTTCTGCTCCCTCCTTGGTAGAATAGGGATGACAGTCACACCATCCGTGCCCAGCCCAAGGCTGGCCACTTTGCAAGGTGGCATGGGGCCACCATGGCTGTGCCAACGTTTCCATCTTCATGCACGGCCAAGGAGCATGCGCCACACACCACATGTTCCCCTGGACAGTGGCCCCATGATGACACCCTTTTTGTGGGAAACATACCCATTTATCCAGCAATCACAGAAACAGCCCTAGAGGTTACCATAGCTCACTCCTGCAACACCCCTCTCAGGCCGCTATGTCCTCCCAGTCCACAGAAGAGGAAAACGCAGCTCCTAGAGGTTAGGTGAGTTGCCTAACAGAGCTAGTGAGTGGCCGAGCAATCAAAGCCCAGCTGCTCTGTCTCCACTGGAGGGGGGGGGGGTGGTGAGGCAGTCAGCCTCAATGACACCCGCAGTAGGCCAGGGACAATGCTAAGCCCTTCTGCAAGTCATCTCCTCACTCCTCAGCAAACCCCAGGAGTAGGTACCTCTGTTGTCCCCATTTTCCAGAGGAGGAAACAGACCCAGGGAGGTCAGTTCATCCTGCGGAACAGAGCTCTAAGTAACAGCACAGAGGCTCGGATCTTGGCCTCAGTGTCTCTGTGGCCTGCAGTGTCCACCCGTGCAGTTGGGAGAGGCCGAGCCAGGCGCCCGGACCCTGGCAGTACCTCTCAGACCATTCTTCTCCTCTCCAATCACATAGAAATTCCGGAAGTTGACCATCCCCAGCGCTGATCTGAAAATGCGGGGCAAGCTTGGGGCAGGCCCACGGACGGTGACGGTTAATGACTGTGACGCCAAACTCAAGGGCGATGGGACCATTGCAGCCATCACAGAGAAGGAGACACACTTCTGAGCCACACCTGCCACCTCGGATGCCTCTCCTTCCTTCCCTCCCCCGACCCCGTGTGTATAAATGAATACCTGAGACACATACTTCCCCTAATGATAGAGGCTTGCTCGTTTTGCACAGGATTCATTAACAACGTTAATTTTAAGGTGGCCGTGTACACTCTGGTTTAAAGTCCCATTCCCCTCCTTGCCCCCAGTTATCATGTAAGTAACATTATGAAGAGATAATACTGTACAGGGACTAGCAGAATCTTCCGTGCTAGGACGGTTTTAACCAGTGTTTTCTAGGGGTTAGGGAGAAGTTGTATCATATGGTCAAACTTTTATACTTGGGCTGTGGGGCCGGTGGGGTGGGAGTGATGCCTGATCTCTGTCAGCCTTTTAGCTGACCGCTCCATGTCCCATGTTCCTCCCTGACCATTGCAGCTGCCCCTCCTCCACGCCCCCGGGGAAGGCTTTGCCTTCAAATCCTGCCTTTGCCATCCCCAACCTCTTAGCAGTGGGTTTACAGACAGCAAGGCTGTGTCAGAGAAGAGAAAGTGATCTTTCTGCCCTGATCCCACTAAGTGACCTTGGGTGCTCCCATCCCCTCCCTGGGCCTCAGTTTTCCTGTTTCCCAAATGGGGAGGGCTGGATCCAGTGATCTCTGAGGTCCTTCCTGACCTGGGCAAGTCTCTTGGGGATTCTCTTGGTATGGCTTGTTGGGTGGTGGCTGCTGGCCGGCAGGCCTGACCTTGACCTTGACCTTTAATTGTTCTGAAGCCTCCCCCTGCTTATTTAAAATCACGTTGGTCGTGGAAATGATGTGGTGTTTTCCCCTTAAACTCCAGGTTGATGCATCTGTGAGGGGCTCCATTCTCTGGAGTCTGGCCAGGCCCTCAGCCCCCGCGACAGGGCCCTCCTGTCCATCTGCTCGCCCTGTCATGTCTGCCTCTCTGTCTCCATGGGGCTGGCTGGAGTCACCTGCGTGCTGGTGTTCGGGGTCAAGAAGCAGCCGCCATGCCACGGCAGCTGTCTGTCCTGCCATTGCCGCTGCCCCAGCCACCATCTGTATCTAGGACCTTCTACCAGCCTCCCAGGGGAAGGAGCCCCAGTAGGGCCCGCAGCCTGGTTTTGTGCCCTGGCCCCTTCCTCATCTGCCTGCCGCCTCTCCTCTCTCTTTCTGTCCTCTGCGCTCCGCTCTCTCCTGCCTTCCTGCCGCCTCTCAGCGGCCCCCCCCATCCTTCTTCTGATCACCAGCAGAACCTTCTCTCCCGACCCCTTTTTTGGGAGCCATTCCACCTGCATCTCTCGCCAGGGGGGCTGAGAAGCCTCAGCACTTATACTGGAGGGAAGAACCAGGCTCCCAGCCCTCCCTCTGTGCAGGCCAGGGGCTGGGGTGGCCAAGGCTGGTGCTGCCTCAGATCCCTCTGCCCGACTTCTCTCTCTAATCAGATTTCATCAGCCCTTTGTCTTGGATTCTGAGTTATTTGGGGACAGGGAAGGTGCATTCTTTATCCTTTTCCTTTACGTCCCCAGTTTTATTTGGTGGAAACAGGAGCTTTCACCAAACCAAGGCTTCAGTTTCCTATAAGGAGCCCACATGTTTGATTCACCTGGAACTTTCCAAACTGACAGCTTCTCTGGTCTGGCCAGCCCCCATCTGAAGACCAAGTTTGCTAGAAGGGATGCCCAGTGCCCCCTCCCCGGCCCCAGGCAGGCTGGGATGCCTGGTTCTGGGCCCCCTTTCGCACACACTGCCCAGGCCTGCCTGGCTCTCCCTGAGCTGTCGGACCTGGTAGACCCAGGAAGTGGACCCAGGAGGATTGGGCCTCATGCTGCGCCTTCTGCTGTGTCTGTCCTTGTCTGCTCTTCTCCCACCAGGTCCTGGGGAGGGAGACTCCCCACTGCTGCTGCTACCGGCTCTCCATCTACAGCTCTGAAGCCTCACTAGGGACGGGACGCACTGCATTATACCTGTGGCACTTAACATTTCACTCACTTAACACTACTCATGGGGCAGGGCGGAGGGAGGGCTTTTGCTCTTGGTTTTTTGTAATTTCCTACTAGTATTTGGGCAACTTGGGGCGGGACGGGGAGGGAAACGTGGGGGCAGGGGAAATGTCATTGTGGTGACTTTTTTTGATATTCATTAGAAACAATACATCCTTTCTGAGATATTTACAGAATTATTAAAAAATGAAAAAGGTTGTACTGTTTTACATAATGAACGTTTTTATTGGGTATTCAAAGGGCACACGATTGTCTGCTTACTCATTTTTAAAAATTAAAGGAATGAACAAACTATATGTGGCCATTCCTAGCAGAGTGATGTTCTTGAGTTGTCCTTCCTGTGTTTTATCACCTGCATGATATACCTGCAAAACCCTCTTTGTTCCATCCCTGGAGGTGGCAGTTTCAACTCAGGATTACAAATTAGAAGCACCCAGGGGTGTTGCAGGAGCCCACACTTCCTCTCCTTCCACGTGCTCAGCACACATAGAATGTCTGCTGTGTTGTAGGTGCTCAACAGAAGTTGTCTCTTTATTCTTCAAAACAATCTCATAAAGCAGGCACCTCCCCATTTTACTTATTACTTCCCCCACTTTGCAGATAGGAGAGATTGAGGCACAGAGAAATCAGGTCTGTCTGAACTCAAAGCCCAGTCTTTTTTTTTTTTTTTTTTAAGATTTATTTATTTGAGAGAGAGAGAATGAGAGATAGAGAGCACGGGAAGAAAGAGGGTCAGCGGGAGCAGCAGACTCCCCGCTGAGCAGGGAGCCCGATGCGGGACTCGATCCCGGGACTCCAGGATCATGACCTGAGCCCGAAGGCAGTCGCTTAACCAACTGAGCCACCCAGGCACCCAAAGCCCAGTCTTTTAATCACTCTGCCTTACTATGTCTCATGCTGTGAGAGGCAGCAGCTGCCCCGTCATGGCTGTGGTGGCTGCCGCAAAGCTCATGGGCTCGCCCTGCTAGGCAGACCTGCATGTCTGAGGCAGACAAGGTGGGGTGGAAAGACATGGAGATTGGAAGCGTGCAGTCCTGGTTTGGGCTCCAGGATCCGCCCTTGCCACCCTCAGTTCTCTCATCTCTATGAAGAAGATAGTAGCTCCTGTTTCAAACTCGGGGTGATTATGAAGATCCCGTGAGCTCAGTAGGATTGGTAGAGCTTTGTATTCACACTGGTTATTATCATCCTGAATGAAGAGTGCCCAAGCTCTAAAAGTGTAGCATTGCTTAGAACTTAGGCAAAGATCTCTAAATCTACATCTGGGATTTCCAAAGAGTTGCTTGGGACCACAGAGCATGTTTTGTCCTGCCAGTCCATGGAACGGAACCATCATCTACATGCAGCGTCTGCTCATTCCTGTGTGGTTGACTTTTCTACTTCAAATCCCTGATCTCAGGATCCACCAGAAACTGTCTTGGCCTCTCGTGCTCTCTGAGGTGGTAACATCTGCTCATAGGGAAGGTGTCCCACAGAGTTCCAGGTTCAGAAAATCTCTGACCCCAGAGGGTCCCTGAGAACTTTATAACTTCATAGAGCCACGGGGATTGGTCACCTATCTGCCACTATTCCCTCCTGTGTCTAGAAGTGGTACAAAGCATCAAGACACAAAGAGGCTGGGTCACAGAAATGTGGGTCTCCCTCATTCCCAGGAAATCTGATTGGTGGATGCTTAAGCTTACCGAATTGGTAACCTATGGCATTTTTTTTTAAGCAGTAGACCCTGTAGGCTTCAGTATGTGCTAGTGACCCTGCTGGCTGGATATGACTCTGCAGCCCAGCTCTATTAGGCACTGCAAATAACCAGAGCAGAGGGGAACCTTGGAAGTGAAGTCAAAGGCTGCTTCAGACCTAGGAGATTTTCCTCTGATTTTGGGCGGGGTGGGGGAGGAATGGGAATCAGGCACCAAAGAGCTGACACTTTCTGCGGTTGGCTGCAAATTTTGAAAAAGGTCATGCATTCAGCAGGCTGTTACTGCGTACCCATCATGCTTCATGCCTGGACCTAGAACTAAGGATATTGAGACAAGTGGAACAGACCCTTTCCTTGAATGTTTTTGCTCTTCTAGGTCAAGAGGACAGGTGTCTCCACTCCTCTGGACAGGCGTAAGTGCGTGCAGAAGCCATTCTTCCTTCCTAGTCTCAGCCTTCTCCAGCCAGTTTGAGCTCTGTGGTGTGGCCCTGGGCAAGTTTGTCCACTTTTCTGGGCCTCAGCTTAGCCATTGGGAGGAAGGTAAAGAAAATGAGACCCAGGGAAGAAATACAGCTGGCTCAAGATCCCCCTAGAAGCCCTCTCATCTTCTCAGGCTGTTAAAAATCAAATGGGTCCTTGACCTGGGCACCTTGCTACCCATTAGGGAGCAAAGTCAATCTGTTGCCAACTCTTGGCCTTCTCTACCTCTCACTTCTGAATAAGATCCACTTTGTGGGGGGGGGGGGGATACACATGCACTTTACTCAGAGCTTCCGAAGGGCCAGCTGACGTGTCAGAACCACCTCCATGAGAAACTAGGAGGCAGAATGTGCCAGGGACCGAGTGCTCAGGGAGTGCCAAGCAGAGGGAAAAAACTGTTTACTGAGCACCTACTGTGTTCCAGGTGTCACACCTGCAGTACCTCATCAGAACCTTATGACAAATCTAAGAGGAAAGTGTTATTAATCCCATTTTTCATATGGAAGAACTAAAGTTTAGAGACTAAATAATTTGTCCCCCAAAATACAATATATCTCCTGGAAGGTGGAGAAGCTGGGCTGGACCAAGGTTTGCTGGGTCTAAATAGAGTCCAGGTACCCAAACACCTAACCAAGGATGTGGGACTTGAGCTGCACCTTGAGGGATGGGAAGATTTCACCAGGCAGGGAAGAGCATTTGAGATGAGGGAATGGCCTGAGCAAAGGTAGAGGCAGAAAAATGTTTTTGGGCAAATATGGTGGAAACTAGAATCCTCTCCATCCCTGGTCTGCTTTTACAACCCCTTATGCAACTTCACCGGCTGTGAGGGTGGCCTCTCCCCATTTTCTCAGAGCGAGGGGGTTGGGTAACACTGTGCCCATCAGAGATGGCATCTGGTGTAAGTCATGGCACAGAGTGGGTGCTCCACGGCACAGGGCCTTCAATGAACAAGTGCTTGGCTTGCCCTGGAGTGGGGAGCCACGGGAAAGGGAATCAACAGGCTCTGAAGACCCACTCAGTGCTGAAAACCATGGTGGGTCCCTTCTTACGTATTATCTTGCCCCCAATCACCTTGTGGATTGGCAAGGTGCTCATATTCTCCCAGTAAAGAAATAGAATCAGAGAAGTAGAATCAGCTGTCCAAGGTCCCAGAGCTGGTTAATAGCAGAGCTGTGGTAGCGGCCCCATGGGGTTCTGGCTCCAAGGCCCATGCACTTTCCACAGACCACTTTGGGAGCCTCCAAGGGCCACCACAGCCATCAGCACTGATGAATCATTACAGGCCGTGGAGAAACAGATGGTGGAGGCCAGGTGGAGAAGGTCAGAAAGTCTCTAGGAGCTTTGAATAATCTTTTGGACACTAGGGACCTCTGGAAGCCTCCTTGGTATCCCAGAAATGATAGA